AATCGTTCATTTGTCGCTCTTATAGATTCTTTATGAGATAAAATATACAACATTATTGCTAATAATTCTCTTGTTGTTGTTCGAGATGAGCCATATAGTCCATAAAATCTTTCCAATTGATAAAGAAGATCTACAAAAATTGCTTCGTGCATACGAAACATGTTATGAAATCTCTTTAGGATTTGCTAATATACATCTCATAATACTAATGGATAAGACACAAAACTACAACAATAATTACTTCATTGTCCCATTTCTAATAATGAAGGGATAGTTTCTTGCTTCTCCATACCTGGGCAAGAATGGAAATATTTATATGTTTAACTGAATTAAATTTAAAACCCAATCTTACTTCTTATATTTGTATATGCTGCTTGAAAATGCAGTTAATCATTTAATATTTCACATCAATGAATACATTTAATACAATTATATATTTTCATTTCTTTAAAACATTACATGTTCAGTTGATCAAGTAACTAGTAAGTTCTGCTACATTAATGCAGCCAAACATAAATGACAAAAAAAAAAAAAAACTATCTAGCTGAGATCGCAAAGTCCAAATATAAGAAGTTTTTAGTTTATTTGTCAATACATGTGGATGGTACAATTAATGTGTTTAAGCGGATAATAATATGATTCATCTCAACTAATTCAGAAAAGAATCTCGGGATGATAAGTGTCATTAGTAATTTTTCTTTTATCTTATTTATAATTATAATTTTATTTTATAAGAAGATAAGCTTCATTTGGGACCGCTTTCTTACTGCTTCTTAAAGTTATTTTTTAATAAAAATATTTTAATTTTCATATTAAAGCTGCTTTAAGAACCAATAAGAAAGTTATCCCAAACGAAACCTAGAATTTAAGAAACATACATATCACAATTTTTTTCTTAAAATACATAAATACTTCATAAATATACCTATCACAATTTGATTTTATGTTCTGAACTACTTTGAGAAGTTCAACAACCTCAAGATTATATTCACAAGTCCTTTTACAAAGGTTTTAAATAACTTGTTTGTTGAACTTATTTGAAGTTGCCAAGTTCCACATCATAATAATGAGAATAAAAAAAAATCCAAGCTAGCTATTCACTAATGACATTCACATGCCTTCAGTTTAGTACAAAAGTATATGCAAAATGCTTGTAATTGAATATCAATTTATTATTTTTCATTAATATGGTAAAAACAAACATTACCATAGTTTGTAATATCAAAACAAAATATGCAAGGGCAATATACAGCCTATTAATTTAAGATCACATTAATCAAACTGAAAAAAAAAGGTTTCAAGTTATTAAGTATCTGGCTTGACATCCCAGAATAATAAGCATACTACTAATAGAAGAATGTTTAGTAACTTTGACGTAAGTTAATTTAACTTTCATAAAACAACAATCTGACTACATAATCATATAGTTAATAGTATTAAAATCTAATAACAAAAACATATATTTCATTAAGCAAAAAAAAAAAATTTAAAATGGATAATGAATTTCGTGTATAACTTATTAAAGATTAGAACATTTTTAAAAGAAATATTTCCAGAGAACAACAATGCGACAACTCCAATATTTTTAAGAATTCATTATGCAAAATAGAACTTAGCAACTGGTGAAAGTTATTAGACACATTTGTAGGCAAATGTCTTAACGAAACATAAATCAAATATGCCAAGCATTCCGACTTCAAATGACAAACTACATTTAATTGAACTTACAAATTGACACCTAATTAATATATAAACCTATGACATCCTAAGGTGTAAGAGTTTGAAATCTAAGTGTCACAATTTTCGAAATGACAATGAAATAATGAAATTATCGTTCAAAAACCATTGCCATGAAAACTTCTGATTTTATAGGATCTTTGAAAAACTTTGTTAAGAATAAGTATAGTGGAATGTCCTCAAAAACTTGTATAGTTAGATCCAACTGATTAATGGCTTCAATAAGCAATGGAGGTATGTTTAGTAGTTTCGATGAATTTGATCTTGATATAATATTTGCACATGAACTAACAAGTTGTGTGATTTGGTTTCTTAAGAATCTGGCAAAATATCATTTCTTCCGTCCAGCTGTACATGACATAGATGATTGACATTTTGAGTGGATACATTCAATATGATCATATATATTTTATGTTAAAGCATTTAAAGTAACACTATCATTATCTATGTTCAGAGTCTTCCTGTCTATCAAGATTTGAAAAACTTTGGTTGGAAGTCCTAACATTAGATCCTGTAGCAACCACATTGATGAACATCAAATCGAATTTTTCTTCCAATTCAAGGTCTATATCACAATATCTAAATTTTTTGACATTTGAAATAACATGTAATCCATAATTCATTATATAAGAGATATGAAAAAAATAAATAAATAAGTAAGCAAACATGTAAATATATAGAAAATTAATATTCATCTCTAATTTTTATTTCCATCATTCTTTTCAAGCATTGAAAATCTTTCTTTTAGGACCAATGAAATTCATTTGGTCCTTGCTTAAGCTCCTTCCATAATTATTCAATATATTGCTGAAAAGGCAGAAAAAAACCCGAGGTTGAGCTGGCTTAGTTTGAAGTGGGTAGAGTCCTTGAACAGAAGGACCGTGAAGGAGAATTTGGTTGTTCTTTGAATCCTGAATATGATAGCCATGAGAATCAAACGTAATAGCACAAGAATTATCAGTAGTAAGATCTTTGATTGAAATGAGATTTTTGGTTAAGTGAGGAACAAGATGAAGAGATGAGAGGTGAAGCTTACTGCTAGGAGTAGGTAATAAACCTTTATCATTACAATACCAACACTTGACTGCCGAATGGCCAAACTTGCCACAGATTTGAAATTTCACTGAAGAAGCAGGGGAAGGAGGGTTGTGAGATGAATTGGTTCATCCACGGGGAGGTCAAGAGGAATAACGACCATGGTAACCACGATCGCAAGCTCTACCACGTTGAGTTGCTAATGCCTGTAGAGGTTCTGATGAAATAGAAAGTTCTCTTATAGATTCAGCAGCTAAGTTGAGCTCTTCTCTACACAGAAGAGCGTAGAAATCATCCAAACTTATTGGATTCAAATTAGTTCTGATTGCAGTTTTAAATCCCTGATAAGAACTAAGCAAGCCATTGAGAGTATACATTATAATATCATCAGAAGATAATGGTGAGCCAGAAGATCCTATCGCATCTACCTTGCCTTTAATTTTAGATAAATACTGCATCATGGTTTTATCTTTCATGGAAACATGATGTAGCTCATTCTTCAGTTGAAGAATTCTTGAGCGATTTGTCATCTGTAGGTGACGCTCAATAGTTTGCCAAAGTTGATAGCAAGAATCAAGAAAGAAGACATAAGGCAGAAAAATGGTAGAGATCGTAGAATATAAAACGGCTGCTAAGTTTTGATCAATGAGTAACTAGGAATAGTATTCAGGGTTGGGTTTAAGTTCAGTAGCATAAGAAATAAGTTTCGATGGTTTCGGAGTACACCCAAAAAACCCTCAAATCCGTTCACAGTGAATAACTTTAGGATTTGAGATTTCCATGGCCGTTGATCTTCAGCTGCGAGCTGAATATTAAGCACTGATTTCACAGTCATCATGAGAAATTTCAACTGAGGCAGAATGGGAATGTCAGCCTGTTGACCTTCATGTTATACCAAAAGAAGAAAGAAATGAAGATTCAAAATCATACCAGGAGCCTATCGGATCCAGGAATCCCGCACCTCGGACCGTCGAACCCCTAAAATTTGCAAGAAATCTTGCCAAGGCACTGTAGATTCGGCGCCGCTTCCGTCTCAGCCCGTAAATCCAGCGGAAATCCTGCGAGCTGCCTCGCACAATGATCCCATTCGCCTCTATAAAACACGACCGAACCCCTCCTCTTCGGCTGCTCTTCCCCGCTCGCCTCCTCCACGCGAAACCACACTCGCTCTCTGCTTCTTCCTCATTCCCAAATCCCGTTGCCCTCCTCAAGCCGAACTCCACTGTGCTGAAACCCTCTCCTCTGTCCGACTCCACACAGCCGCACCCCTCTCGTTTTCTCCGGCCGAGAGAGAGAGAGAGAGAGAGAGAGAGCCCACTGCGTGACTTATATAATCAAAACCCAATTTTCAAATCCAATTTCTATCAGTATCCAATCAATTGTTGCTACTATATGCCAGATAACACGTATTTCTACGTATCTGATTGACGGCTAGCCTTAATCGAAAGTTCACTCTCGTGATCGGGAGGGGTAATTAACTATAGGGGCTTGCGCCTATAGGAAACCAGAACTCAGATCATAAAGTCCTCGCAAAATGAGGGCGAAATCTCTGGGTAGTGTCTTATCTTCAAATCCATCTGCCTTCCAAAATTTACCCCGAAACCTATTCCGTTAAAACTCCCTCGCCGAATAAAAAAAAAAAGCGCGGCGAGGCCGGGGCCGAATTTTCGGAGCCCACACAGCCATCTCGATCGCAAATGGTGATTGAGAAGAAGTGAAAGATCGAGATGGGTTTTCCATGAAAAAAAAAACGGAGAAACAAACGAAACCAGGATTTCAAAGTGAAGTTGTGAGGCAGTAAAGCTGCTCTAATACGATGTTGAATTTCCTTCTAGCGCTGGGCTCCTGACCTGCAACAGAGAAGCAACGCAAGCAGGAAAAGCAAAGAAGGAAAATCAAATAATGAACAGTAAACCTTTTTCTTCCATTGCTCCCAAACGGTTCTGTTACAGTGTTATATAATCAAGTGCTTATGCTGACTTGAACGGTAGGTATCAGTCAGTTACAAACTAACGGTGAGGATTAAAGGTCAGAAAAAGTTCTCTGCTATATAAGAGTAGTGAAAGCATGAGTTGGACTTGATATGTGAGCTTGCTTATGTAATTGCGTGTACTCGTTGTTTTTTTAAAGGAATGTACAACATTATACTTCTGAATATCTTCCAAAAAATGGACTACATAGTGAGCACACAATTGTGCATTCGCTACTAGCAAATGCAATGCTGTGTACTTCCATAATTTATACCATACCTAATATTCCACATCAATCATTCAAGTGGGCAAAAATTTTGCTCGATTTAGCATATAACTCTTTCTAAAGTATCAAAACCACAAAGTCAAGTGTTTAGAATATCATTAGCTCATTAAGTTCAAAAGACTACAGTTTTCAAACCCAAGTCCCACTGAACAGAGGTTTTGAAGAAGCAGAATCTCCAAACAACTTTATCAAGTCAGAACAGGACTCAGCAGTTTCCTCCTCACCCTCAGATTCTGTTTTCAGATCCAACCCCAACTCCCTGTCAATATCATCAGAAGCCGAAATCAGCAGAAACTCACATCCCTCATAGTTGAGAAAGTCAGGAGGATCTGCTGCTGCAAACCGACGCTTCCCGAGACAACCTTGGAGGCTTGCTGGAAATGCCGCACGCCGCTTGCTCTGAAGTCCACCAAAGCCACTGCTGTGGCCAGACTCTTCTGGATTCCTTATCTGGATAATGAAGGAGCCTTCATGTTCTATGTTGAGCTCCTCCTGTGGTTCATTATGCTTGTCTTCAGTTGGAAACTCCAGCTTGTAAATGAGGTGAGTGTGAGTTTGTCGACCAAATTGATGCCTTAGAATGCGGTAGACTCCCTCTGCAAGAGCACTTGCCGGTGCTTGTTGGCGGTGGCCACGGGTCGATGTATCATACTCTTCTGCAGTTTTATGAAAATGAAAGCTTGTATGCAAGTTACAGGGTAACATACATGATGATAGCTCAAAAGCACACGTAGCCAAAGGAGATTAGAGAGAGGGAAAATAAAAAGAAAGGCAAGATAAAGGGCAAGATTAATACAAGAATGATGCTGTGAGCTGCATATGCTTATGCGATTAATTGGTCACTACCAGCTGCTCCCAACACTTCTATCTCACGTAGCGTCAGCAACGCCAATGGACACTTCATAACCATGGACTCTTCCAACACAATGGGATTAATTGATCACTAATCTGGTTTATGGCCAGCGCTTTGGGCTTCCTTTGTGTCACCAATACTACAAGAACTCTGCCCGCACTCCATGGGATTATCTAAATCGTAAGTGTCATTACTACTGTAGAGTTGGCCCATGGCATCTCAAACATGAATGTTGTAAGATTCATCCTATAAAGCAATTAGAGCTAGACCTTATTTTGGGAATCTTCTTCGTATGGCACCAAGACTTATAACATAATTGTTGCTTAGACCACCAACTTAACCCAAAATGGTTACTTTAATTGATTTACAAGCACTCTTCAATGAATATAAATCCCTGACGGTACATCGCCTTCTAATATTATGTTTATCATCTTAGGGTGCATTTAGGGGGATTTTTTCCCTCTTATACGTTAGGAAACATAACCGACTAGTGGTTTGAAGTTACAGGGTCATGCTACGTTCCTCAAATATTTGTGTCTTGCGGTTACTTTTCCTGTCCTAAGAAAGCCTCCTGCATTCACCTAATTCCTATTGTTCGAAGCTAAGAGGAAGACATAAATGCCCTTAGTCTTCTTCTTCCTCATGAAGTTCGACAATATCTGCCCACTTCATCCATTTTTTTGCTCCTTCGGGCCCATCTCACCATGTTCGGGAATTGGGACCTTGATTGTCTGCTAGATTGGTAGTCATTCAATATTTTTCCATACTCCCACCTGTGAGAACCCCTCGTCATCATTTCACACTGCCCTAGTAAGCTCAAGCTCTCTTCATTTATTTTTTCTTTATTTTGTTTACTGAAAATTATTTTCTTCAATCAGTAGGTTATATTGTTTTTCTTTCATTTATATGTGGAATTGTGATGAGAGATTGATTTCGTAGCTCTATCGTGATACAATTGCAATTAAATCACCAAGTATTTATCCTCATTTGGTTTTCTTCCATCCCACCAAAAAATTGACATTCCCTCCCATCCCTATTGCCATGAAACTGATCATTTAACCTGCAGGAGTTTCAATACAATTAACCACCAATACATTGACTTCCAATGGTGAAGCCCACTATTCCAGAAATAGACAGATCTGTTGCCCTTAAATGACATATCTGAATTGTAGTTATTCCCTAAACAGGGACATAGATGATGGAGTGTAGAGAAGATCCCCTTGCATGTTGAAAGGATAATGGAATTCTTTTAAGCCTTCCCAACAAGTCACCTAAATTCATCTGCCAAATACCTATTCCTTTAGCTGGCCACTGCAATCAGGAAAAGATTTAGCATGAAATTATCTATTATGCTTTTAGGTTCTACATTTTTTTCTAAGTTTGAAGTATAACAGCAGTTCAAATTACATTTAATAACAGTTTTATCTTTCAAACTTCCATTGCTTTTTTTTTTTTTATGAGTAAATGTAACAATGCAATTTGATCGGGCTTCATTTTATTGGGCTTCATTTTGTTGAATCTACTCATTGATGGTCTTCTCTTGTTTTTTTTTTTTTATAATAAGTAGGTCATACAATGGTAAACCTAAGGATAGGGGAGCGTCCGCAATATGGGAGTGTGATATTAAAATATTTTTTTGTGATTTATATTTGAGAGAAATTGAACTAGTCAATCATACAACTACGCATTTCAATAAAAAGGGCCGGATAAATTTAATGAAGATATTTCATGAGAGAACAAGTAGAGATACAACTAAAAAATAAGTGAGATCAACTAAAGAAAGATTAGAAGTTATAGAATGAACTTAAGTGGGATCAATTGGATTGGGTTAGGATCCAAAAAGAAAAATCATTGATGCATCAGATGGATGGTGGAAATAAAAATTAGAGGTGAATTTTCCCTTCATATATATTTACATGTTTTCTAACTTATGTAAATTTCCTTTTTATAAAGATCTCATATAATGAATTTCGAATTACAAGTTGTTCCAAACACCAACAAGTTTTGATATTGTGTTATCAACCCTGAATTTGAAGAAAAACTCGATTTGAAGTTCATAGATGTTATTGCTACGGGAGCTAATGCTTAGACACATTTTTAAAATTTTGATAAATGCACAACTAGATAATGATAGTGATTTTTTCAATGATTCAACACCAACAATAGATGATCATATTAAATCTATCCACTCGATAGATCATCCATCTACATCATGTACAGCTGCATGGAAGAAAAGACATGGGTGCTACATTTTTAAGAAATCATATAACTCAACTTGTTAGTTCATGTGCAAATATCACATCAAGTCAAATACATCTGAAGTGGTAAACATAACTTCATCGCTTACTGAAACTATTAAGCAGACGGATTTGACTATAGAAATTTTTTAGGACATTCTTGTATACTTACTCTCAACAAAGTTTCTAGAAGATCCTACGTGTTGCAAATCTGGATCAAAGTCTTATGATTTTGATGATAACAAACATTATTGAATTTCTTATTGTGATATCTCATGTTAATTGATATTATTGCATAACTGTTTGTTTTTCATGCACTAGCATTTTAAGTCCACCTTGCACTTGCAAGTTTGATCAGCTCAAGGTTGGATAGACTAGGGTTAAGTATGTCGTGAAAAGTGTATTTTCAATTCTTATGTATTTTTATCTTTCTTGAGTCAAATCATGTATTTGGTGGATAATAAACTTGGTAATCATACACACACACTCAAGGGAGTGAGTTAGTGACAATATTAGGAGTAGAGTTTTCTGTTCTAATCATAGCTAATCAGAAAATGATTAAATGGCTAATTGTGATAATTAATACAAGATGAATTAATCGTATTGTACGATGTATATAGTACAGCACGATCAATTGAAATCAGGATCCCAGCCGTCAATCACAATTTAGGCAATATTTTAAAATTCAAATTTTGTACTCATCGTACTATAAGATAAGTATCATACTGTACGATATATTTAAATCTTGCCTAAATTAATTCTGTGATTAAGAAAATAATTTGGATTAATTGATCAAGTTAGATCGTACAGGACGATTTGATCAATCGTATTGTACGAACTGATTCTTGTATGGGACGATAATTAAATCGTCACCAATTATACTGGATGATAATCCAAATTGTTTGAACTAATCATACTAGAAGATGCTCTGAATCGTCCTAGACGATCAGCTCAATTCCTTGAATTAGTCGTACAACACATATCTCTTCGTACAGTACTAACATTAGTACTTTGAACTAATCATACAAGACGATCCATGATCGTGATAGACGATCAAAGCCACATAATTGAATTTTAGGGCTTCATGTGAGGTCTTGTATTTAATCTCTCTCATTGAATTGATTCAAGTCTTTGGCCGTTGAGTGCTCTTGAGAGGGAGCTTTGAGAACAAATTTTAGAAGAGCTTTGGGAAGAAGAGAGAAAACTTGAGTGTGAGGAAGTAGTGTAAAGAGTTCACACGGTTTCTCCAAGCAAAGTGTCTTTCCTTATTCCTCCAAGTGTCTGTATGGGTTTCTTCAGTGGCTTCGAGAAGAAATTCTTCAGCTCAAGAATATCGTTCTCTTTCAACACCAGGAGGGTGAGAAAAGAGTTCAAGGTACTCTGCCTTCTCCAGGAAGGAGAAAAAGATTAAAGGTTCACTGCCATCGCCTGAAGGGTGATAAAGCTTCCGTCTCTCTTCCACACCGGGTTTGGTGGAAATGATGTGTGTAAAGGCTTCTCGGAATGGAGGACTCCAGAGAGCGGACGTAGGACATTGTTTGATCGAACAACTAAATTTTTGGTGTGTTTGTTATGATTTCTATTTTCAGTATTTTACTTTTTGCATTTTAATTCCGTTATAACTACTAGGTGAAAATTGTGAAATCGTTGCTTAGATATTTTGTTAGATTTATTCGCTCCCGCACTTAGTGAATATTGCTACTTGTTTTTCAAATATTGAAAAATCCAAAAACATTGTCTTTATTTTGAATAAAGCAATTAATTTTTTTGATTTAAAATTCATAATGCACCCCCCTCTTGGTGTGCCTAGAGACAAGTTCACTTAGGCTTAACATCCTTATCGAACTTTTACTACCAAATGAGAAGTTTTTATGGCAATGGTTTCAGAACGAAGATCAGTTTTCCTTCATTAACATTTTGAAAAACACGATGCCTAGAATTGCAACCTCTATTACATAGAATGTCATAGGTTTGCTCGAATTTCTTTGAAATTTAATTATTTATGTGTTAATTTCAAAGTTCTATTATATGTAGTTTGTAATTTGAAGTATTCATGCTTATCATAGTTGTTGTATTTTCAGTTAAGATAACAATCTACAAATCTGTAAATTAACTATCATTTTAATGACAACTTTTAGGTTGATGTTAACTTCATATGAATATTGTAGCTTCTTTGTTCTCTGAAATGATTTCTGCGTTCAGATGTAATGAATAAAAATAAATTTTGTGAGGAAGAAAATGAAAAGATCGTGAAGTACAGCAGAAACATTTAGCTATGAGTAAGTACATTTGTTAGACAGAAAAATGTGCTATAAATGTCAATAACGATTTACAATAAAAAACAAAACATTAAATTTTATTAGTTTTACTCTAATTTCTTATATTTTATTTTCTTAACCCCTTACAAAGATGAAGTCAATCAAATAGAAGCTTAAAGTACATACATATTATCATCTCTGTTTCTAATAATATGAATTTCACATTGCAAGAGTTTCAGGATAGATAGATGTCGCACAAATTAGTAGAATGTTAGCAAAAATAAGAATGCTGACATATTGTTTTTGGT